TTGTTTTTTTGAATGTCCAGAGGACCAGATTTAACTTTTTTAGATTTAAATCATCTGGTTTACGAGCTTAACCGTAAGGTGGAGGCGATTTATGAGAATCGCAGGCCACCTGCGGCTTCTGGGACTCGTCAGCGTGGTGGGTTTGACTTTGAAGGAGACTCATAGCATGGATCAGTGGAATGGAATCCCACAATTAGGCATTTTCAGTACCAGAACGCCCAGATGGACTCAAAGCTGAAAAGAAAGTAATCTCTGTCTGAAGAAAAACAAGAATCAAGCTTATCTAAATCTGACTCCCTGACGGCCTAGGAGACGGGCCGACTATCAAATTTCTCCTGGGTCATGAGTAACCAAGGACAAAAGCTTCATCTAACGCCTCCCCCCCCCCCCCCCCCCCCAACTTTCTGTGCAAGCTTATCAGAACTGCTGGCTGAAACATCTTCAGAAACTGTGGCTGATATTGAAAAAAAATAACGCTCATGGACAAATCACAACACCTTGATGTCAAATGCAAATGTAATCATGTTTTAATTGTGCTTGCTGGTATTTTTTTTTTATGTCTCAAATCGTGTCCTGATAGACAAGATGTGAAAGATCTTTTTTTTGTAATACCACTATCTACCCTCATGTTTCTCCCCATTTTCCTATCTAAGATTATTATCTGATAAGGATAAGAAGGCCGCGCTTTCTATAGTTGCAGCTTCGTGCACTCCGCCCATCTTTCGGACGACTGTACGTACATATTCGCGTTGTATCTCGGTGCAAGGCCAATAAAGTTTATACTGATTCTGAAACATGGGTAATAAATAAATAAATAAAAAGCTAGTTATTTTCCCAGTGGTACAAACGTACTTTTATTGTACAATTAATTTATTGGCAAAAACAATCAGACCACCAAAATAAAAAAAATAAAAACATTAGAAAAAAATGGGGGAAAAAAAAAAGAAAAGAAAAAATGGAGCAAGTTATTTTTGCTTTTTCTGAACAAGCACAAAAATAGTTAACAAGAAAAACAAAAAGAAAAGTGGTCAGAAATTCCATCTGAATAGTAAATATTTAAATAGTTTATTTCCAGTTTAGGAAATAAAAAGGTTTTGTTCAGTTGCCAGCAGTTTGTACAGTGATTCAGTATGTTTACAACTATATTCATGTACAGAAAACATGTCATGTGAAGGATGAACCGTCTGCATCACCACAGCATCTTTAATACAAAACAAAAACATTTTATCTAATTATTCCTGTAGCTTCAAGTTTTATTTCCAAAAAATAAAATTAAATAATATATCTATTTATAAAAGACAAGTTTCTCCTTTTTTTTTTTTTTAATAAAATAAGTCTCAAGATATATTGCAACCTGGTTTTGATGTGTTCCCTCCCCGACGTCCGGCCAGTTGAACTACTCTAAAGACAAAATAAAAAAAATAAAAAGAAATAGTGACCGTATTAATCTCGTCTTCAGTCGTCTCTAGGAAAAGCTAAATAACCAAATCTTCTGAGTCTTCTTTGTTTTGGCTCTGTTCTGTGCAGGTTTTGAGTCTAAAGTTTGAGACTGTTAAGGTGGCTGATTTGTTGCAAACCCCCACTTCTCCCCCCCCCCCTTTAAAACCTCATCAAAAATACACAAAAAAGGCGCATTGGTGCTTGTGACCTATGACCCCCCCCCCCCGCCCCAACGCACCCTACTTGTACATGAAAATAAAATACAACTCAATACTGTACAGCAGCTCTGCAGCACTTCTGTAGCTTTACACAGACACGCTCAATCCAAAGTGGGGACAGATCATAAAGTATGTACATACTCTTTAAAACTTCTTTACAAAAACAGTATCCAAGTTTTCTAATTTGTACAAAACAAACATTAAATTAAACAGTGGCTGAGAGGCAGTAATGAACAAAAGAATTTTAGTTTGAGTCAGGACAGGCTGGAAAATTGAATTTTTTCTGCTGAACCTTTTTCAAACACGCAATCTACAGATCAGGCATTTACATTTTATCTCTTTACAGTCTTTAGTGGTGGTGGTGGTGGTGGTGGTGGGGGGGGGGTCAGAGAGGATAAATTAGCATTTTTCAAGAAAAGTGGATCCGTTTTACAAAATTGACCCAATAAACACTGTTCAGGTTCAACTCCAACCTTTAAAACACACACAAACAAAACCCCAAGATAATTCTACTAAAACTGGGTTTAACCCCCCCCCCCCCATCAAAACAATTTAAATACAATATTGTTAAAATGTTCAGATGTGTGAAACATGTTCAGGAGACCATCTGTAAAGGAAGATATGTTGAGGCTTGTTTAAGATTCATTCAGGCAACAAAATAAAACAAATACAATCATGATGGAAAATAAAACGGACTAAATAAAAAAAGCACGTTTGGATCAACTCACTTTCATTTTCAGCCACACTTGAAATTCTAAAAATCTTCATTAAAAAGGCAAAACTCTGTCCTCAAAAATATTTTTATATATTTAAGGAAGAAATATCTCCATGAGAAAACGCTGCCCTTCTGCCTTTTTGTACAATTGGCAAAAATATATAAAGTATATATTCCCAGTAATAACTTACCATGGTGTGAATTCACTGACTGCAATGATGAAGATCAGTCTGTGACATCACTAAAAGCTTTCAGTAAAAATAACTTGTAAAAGTCGGGTCCCCCCCCCCGCTGTTACTCGTCCCCCAACATGTCCGACTGGCCCCCCTGTCCTGCATGCATCCCAGTCATCCCGCTCAGCTGGGACATGATAGAGTTCTGGTCGGAGCTGAACGGACTGGGGTCTACAGACGTAACTGCTTGCTGCTGCTGGGCTGCTGGGGGCTGGGGGGGGACCATCGAGGGGTGGTGCTGACCCAGGTGGCCTGTGTGTGGTGATCCAGTTTGGGTCTGTGGGGAAATGCGATGAGGGGAGGGCTGGGGCTGCATGCGTGGGGACGGACTGGAGTGCGGGGGCTGCGACTGTGGCCTTGGGGAGGGCTGGGGAGACCTGCCCAACGACCCCCCTGGACCCAGTCCTCCTTGTCCTTGGAGGTGGGGGGACTGAGCCATCTGTTGTTGGGGACTCATAGGACTATTGTGATGGGCGGGAGAGCCCCCCCCGAGGTGCTGCTGATGTAGAAGTCTCTGATGGATGTTCTGGTGAACCATACTTGGAGACGGCTGTGGCATGGGGGGCCCACCAACACCCCCACCTTGCTGTTGCACAGACCCTGGTCCACCTGGGCCAGGCTGGAGTTGGGCTCCTCCAGCACCACCTCCTGCATCTGGTCCCTGATGACCCCCCAGTGGATGTGGGAACCTCTGCTGAAGTGCTGCAGCTACTTGCTGCATGGAGTTAGGGTATCCTTGCTGCTGACCAATCTGTCCCACCCCCCCCTGTGGTCCTCCTCGCTGCTGTTGAGCTCCTCCTGCAGGTTGGGAGGGGGCGGGTATCCCCGGCTGTCCTTGGCCTGGCTGCAAGAAGCTCTGCTGTCCCTGCTGCTGCTGCTGGAACTGCCCGTGAACCCCCACCTGCTGTGGGGGCAGGTGTCGCCTCAGAAACAGCTCTCGGAGTTGCGGACTCATGTTGCTTTGTTGCCCCATCTGCATCGCTCCCTGTTGCTGTTGCTGCAACGCAGCCATTTGCTGCTGCTGAAGATTCACAGGCAACATGGGACGTTGCTGCAGCTGTTGCAGCTGCTGCAGCTGAGCCATGGTGGCCATGTTTCCTCCCCCTCCTCCCCCCTGACCTAGACTCATCCCCGGCTGAACCGCGGGGTTTACGTTAACCTGCTGCTGACCGTCAACATTGGTGAGCTGATTGGCTCCAGGCCCCCCCATGCCAGGTAACCCTCCAGAAGCTCCTGGAAAACGCACACCTCCAGGTCCTGTAGGCGGGGGTCCTCTAGGACCCCCCTGATACCTGGCAGCTCTCTGCCGGATGAACGCAGCCATGAGGGTGGGATTGGAGCGCAGAATGTTCAGGACTTGTTCCTGCTGTAGAGGTGAGCTTGGAGAGCGCAGTGTTCGCAGCAGCTCCTGTAACGCCCCCTGGGGTAAATTTCCTGATCCTGCTGCCCCCGTTGCCCCCACTGACACCCCCAAGGCTTGCATTAACCCACGTGGTCCTGGTTGCACCTGTTGAGGATTCATTGGTTGTTGCTGTTGGGCAACTGCTGGCTGCTGCTGTGGGGCTATGGGACCCACCAACCCTGTCCTTTGCTGTGGGTTCATGGTTGGACCCCCGGCCCCCCACTGTTGATTTGTTGGCTGCAGCGGACCCCCGTTCACCGGCTGAAGTTGCTGCTGAACCTGAGGGGGCAGCTGGGACTGAGGGCCACCCTGCTGCATTCCCAGTAATCCCTGTTGCTGAGAGTCCAAAAGAGTCCTTCCAACAGCCTGAGCCTGGGGGGGCATGCCCTGGGGCCCAACGTGGGGCAGTCCTATCTGAGGTTGGCTGCTCTGATGGTGAGAATGTGGGGGCATCATACCACCCTGTCCCAAGCAACGCCTCTGTGCTTGAGTCTCTGCCAGGCGTTGGATCTGCAGGGCTGTCTCCACAGCAGCTGGTGGGGGCCCTTGCTGCTGGCCCAGTGCAGACATGGAAGTCTGTCCCTGGTTAGGCTGTTGGTGGGGCGGCGTGGCTGGACCCAGACCAGGTTTTCCCAGTGAGTGGTAGGGAGGAGATGCTCCAGGTGGTCTGTGATTGTAAGGAGGCAGACCACCAGGAAGTTGCTGGTGCTGCTGGACATTGGGAGCCTGCTGCTGGAGGGGGGACACCATCTGATGCTGAGGAGAACCCATCATCCCCGATCCAACCACAGACTGATGAAGATGGTGTTGGGGGGGAACAGGACCAGTTTGCTGCTGAACCTGCTGCTGCTGGCCTGGAGTTCCCATTCCACCCATCCCTACTCCCTGCAGCTGAGAAAGGGCCGACATGTTACCCTGGGTAGGTGTCTGTGGGGTGGGGGGTTGCGTACCAGAAGATGTGGGGGTGGATGGACCAGTGGCTCCGTTGCCTCCTGGGGAGGGGAGGCCATTTCCTCCAGGTGGTCCTCCTGGAGCGGGCTGGCCTACTCTCTGCATGCTGGCCATTCTCCTCCGAAGCATCTGGGCCTGCTGCAACCGGTGCTGCAGCTGCTGCTGCCGGAGCTTGTGCTTGATGTTCAGGCAGAACGGAACCGGACACTTGTTCTCCTGACAGTGCTTAGCATGGTAACAGCACAGAGCGATGAGCTGCTTGCAGATGGGACAGCCACCGTTGGTTTTTCTCTTGCAGCCTTTCGTATGTTGAACAACACGTTTCATCTTCTGGCAAGACGGCAAGGAACAGTTTGCATTTCGACACTGGCACGCGTGGACAAGAGACTGGATGCAGCGCTGGATGCTGAGACGGCGTGAATCCCCTGGGCTCTGAGTGGTTGCAGTAGCCTGGTTGCTATTTTCATCATCCAAGCCAAGGCCAAGCTTCTCCATCTTATGCTCATGGCCTTTAGTGTTGTAGCATGTGATGCAGAGGTCATAATCCTGGAGGAGATGGAAGAAATGACACAATAACAATATGAGGACGATTTAAAAGCACAGGCTGGTTTTGTTTATTACAGCTCAGCTGCAGAAAAGACGAACTCACCTCACAAACGGTACAGTGGAAGCGAGTCTCCACGTGGTGCTTGCATTCATTGCAAGTGTAAACGAAACGATCCTGACTTTGGTTATGCAGCTCCACCAGCATGCACGTGGAGCTCCACATAGCCCTTCTTAGTGAACTGAACTCCAGATGTTTATCTCGGGCTAGTGTGAGGAAAGCATCGCGGCCATCCATAAGGTCACATGCCATCAGGGGATCTGGGTCTACAATGGGGGGCAAGGTGTTTGCCATGGGGCCAGCTATAAGCCGGATCACAAAGAACACCTAGAAAAGGATAAAGAAGGAATATTTACCAAACCTTTAAATAAGTGTTTTGTTGTTGTCAAAGTGAAAATATTTGAGCAGTTGTCCAGCTTGAACAGATGTTTGAATTGTACAGTGGTTTTCTTTCCCTCCTACCTCTTTGTGTTTTTCCATGGTAGCATAAAGTTTTTGTGAAAGGTCATTGGAGACGTTGGGCATCCCCGGCTTCTTCTTATTAGATCGGCTCAAGCTGCTCTTGTTCTTACTCGTCTTTTTGTTGTTCTTCTTCTTTGCATTTTTGCTGTCACTTTTTGTGTCCTGCAGATAAAAGCAGAAACTGGTCATCAACATTTTTAACCTTTCTTTACAGAAACAAAAAGTACTGAATCAGAGGTCTGAATCTGTGATGAGTCGTACGTCAATACTCTCATTGGAAGTGCTGTTCTCCTCCCTTTTCCTCTCCTCCTCCTCTTGCTCGAGCTCTTTAATGCTCTCCTCCAGCACATTGGGCCAGAAGTCGCCCTCAAAGTAAGGCAACTCCTTGGCACTGGTTAAACGATCCTCCGTCGCTTGCTTGAAGATATCCTTTTTGTGCAAAAACAGAAAAGAGTACCTTTTGCCCAAACCTGACTCATTGTGAGCATGTGCACAATGAAGATATCACATCATCTTAAAATCCATAAAACCAGATATAGTCTAGATAACCATGTTTTCAAAATGTGAAACAAACCAGCCATATTCTGTGTACCTTGTAGTCGTGGACTATCCTCTCTGCCACAGCTTTGTCCAACATCTTCTTGTACCACTCCTGAAGACGTTTGGGCTTTGGGATTTTCTGATCTACCGGGTGGCAGTGGAAGATGTAGTCATCACCCTCACTAGGTGGGCAGGCCCAGATGTGTCCAGTGGTGTAACTAAGAACACAAAAGGAAAAACATACAACTTTTTTTTTCAAAACAATATGAATGAAATTAACATTTATATACTTAAAACTATATCCAAACCTAAAACAAGCAATAATTAATGTGTTTACAGCACTTACCCTAATTTCTTGACATACTCCAAGTATCCGATGAGGATTTCATGGTAAACTGCTGTTCTTAAAGCGCGAGGACGAAAGAAGTGGATGCTGTCCAGGTAGGAAATGTAAACTCGCCTGAAAAGAATGGAAACCACATAATTTATAACTTTATATGTATACTCATGTATGCACACTAGACAATGACATTTTTTTGGTAGCCGGTCACGTGATTCCGTCCGGATTCCGGCGGGACCGGAGTCAACCTCATTATAACTCACGTGACCGGGACGTGACCGGACTGAAAGCTAACGGGAGTAGACAGGAGCGGGAACCAACCAATAACCAAAAATGAAAATGAAACAAACAAAAACAAACAAACAAACAAAAACAAAAAAACACGGGTGCAGCTATTTTGTAGTTTTCTTTCAGTAAGCCTTCACTTTAACACAACTCAAAAGAACTACATTTCCCAGGAGTCAAGTGTTCGAGCTGTAGCTTTTCACCAAGAGGGGGAGGAGCAGCGAGCGAAGCGGTACCGAGTCTGAAAGCAAGGTAAGAAGTAACTGTCTGTCTATTAAACTCACAGAACAGGCAGGAAAGTGTCAAATAACCCTGAACTTCATGAGAGTTGTGTGTTGGTGCTGTGCTGCTTTAAACTTTAGCCTCAGCTGCAGGAGCTGCGGGGAGTCGGACTTTGTTTACCGTCAGTAAAGGAACAGACTCAATCAGCGCATTTTTCTCCACCATGTCCCTTTTAATTTAAAAATTATGTTCTGTTTTGTTATGTGGGTTTTTAGGTTAAAATCTTCATTATCTGTTGCTGTTTGTAATGTAAAAAATAAAATGAAATAAACCGAACTCTTCCTGGTTAAAGTGCACGCATTCTCCAGTAAAAATATCCCAGTTTTTATATGAAAGGCTGGTTACATATATATTATAATAACTGTTATTGTAAGGGGGACATATTGGTGTGAGGTCTGTGGGTCCTCCCCCATAACTTTTTAAATAAAGTAGCTGCTATTTCCTGCATTCTGGTGTATTTTAACAGGTTTAAAACATTTATGTTTACCTACATAAGTAAATACTTTATCCAATAACTGTTTTATAAAGCATGGCACAACAAGTAGCACTAAGCTTTTTGTTTGTCTTTAATTTAATTTTTCTACCTAACACAGGAAGCTGTTAGCTCTGGAAGCAAGCTGTTAAACAGCTTTGGACACAAAGACCCTTGTCACACACTTCAAAAGAGCAGGTAAGATACATAAAATCTTGTAATCTCTGCCTGGTGAGGCTGATTAAATAATTATAAAATATGATAAGTGAAATAAATAAAGAAAAATTGAGCTTCTGTAATTTATAATTGCAAATGTCACATTTTCTTGACTTAATTTCAATTGTAAATCTCTTGTTTTTGATAAAATATTTTTTTCCAAAAGAAAGGCCAACAAATTGTAATTTGTAGTCACGGTAACCCTATTTTGACTCGTGCACTGTCTTCTTTCACTTTTAGGTTACACAAGGCTCTGGACTGGTCAAGCTGTGGAGAGATGAGGTGGAACACCAGACCTGCAATGATCCAGTCTGTAAATGATGCTCTGAAGTCTGGTAAGATGCACGACATCATGCTTCACCCAAACGACCACATAGACTGAACTTCTTGAGGACGTCATCCAATGTATAATAATGCCTTTAAACATTTTTATTTGTCCTCTTGCTTGGTACATTATTTTTCTTTTTTTGTTTGTTTATTTAAACAATTTAAAACATGACAGTAATGTCACTGTTTAAAGGAAACAATTGCTCAATAAATTAGTAAAATGCAACTTGTTATGTTTGTATTCATTCATCTAAGGTAGACATGGTATGACCCATGTACTGGTTTTGATTTTTTAGTTTTTACTGTAACTGACCTTCAAAACAGCTAGAAACAGGGACTCAGCAGCTGATCCTCCGTAGAAAAATTATATGGACTACAGGCCATGTATTATTTGTTTTATGATATTTAGTGAAGGTTTTTGTTTGGATTAAGGAAATAAATGTCTCTATTTCACCACAGATGAACTGTTCCTGTTGCCATATCTTTTGAAATAAAACTGCACAACACAAAGAAATTTAAACAGGAAAAGGTAGAAGATCAAATCAAATTCAACGCATTTCCTAAAAATTAAATGAAAAACAGGAGCAGGACAGGAGTGGGAGTGATTCTGAACAGGAGCAGGACAGGGGCAGGAGTCATGTTACCAGGAGTGTGTCTCACTTTCCCGAGTGAAATAGGCACAGGACACGTGCCACGCCCTCACCGCAGCCTTTTCCCTCTAAGGGGGCTAAAACTAATCCTGAGACTCAGGTATTACCTGCAGCTGATTTTCCAGGACAGTCTAGTTCAAGGCTGTGTTGAGATGATTCACCCAGACTGTTAACTACCTCTGATCCTTGCACCACACCCAAAGTCTCACCTCGTGCCTCGCCCGACCTAGCAGCAGGAGTGGGGACGTTTAGCAGACAAGGAAGCGCAAGTTAACGGTAGCTCATCTCCTGATTTAGTGTTGCAATTGTTAATCGATCTGGCTTTGTTTAGAGTCTAGACACAAGACTCTTGGATGTTGTTTTATAATCAAAAGCTAATAAAACCGTTTAAAACCTCCCGTGCTTCTGTTGTTTCTCTGAACCAAGTTTTCCACTTCCAAGAACAAAGGGGTGTTGAAATAAGAATCCAGAATTTTACGTTTTGCTTTGCTTTAATCAATCATTTTTGCAGGGGAACAGCGGTATGCACAATAATGATTACATTCGATTACAAAGAGATTACATGACGAATAATATTCACTCCTTAGTCCCTTTCCAGTTGTTGACCTTTCCTGGGCAAAGTAGATTTCCGTCCCTGTGGACGGGCTTGAGGCTGGCCCTTGGACTCGTCTCTGCTCGGCCTCGGACGTCTTTTAGTCCGTCCGGCCACGCCCTGTCTCACTCAGGAACACAAGTACCCACACAGTTTACCTACTGTCTCTACCTGACCCAACACATTATTTCTCACTGCAAGGATGACCCTTCTGCAACTCTGAGCAACCATATTTATAATATAATTGATTTTTCTGCTCGTCAATTCATGCACTGCTGCTTTAATTTGAAATAAGGTTTTATTAAGGACTAAGTTTGAGAATTGTCCTCTTACCATTTCATTGATCATAGCAAGAGGCAAATTTCCCCATCCCTCTTGGATGCGGGTCGTTTCTGGTCCTCGGTCTGGTCTGAATTTGAAGAAAAGGATTTAGGAATAATCCAGGCTGAGGGTAGGTAAATAGTTCCAAAAGAAGCATATTCCAACGGATTTCACCCTTGTTCTTCTTCAGCTGAGACAGTCCAACTTGTCCTATTAATCCACAATCGTCTCGTGATCCTCGCAGGTCCCGTTCGTTGCCTCCTTACACGAATAGTGGTCCCCAAACAGCGGAGTTTTCACAGAAACATCTGTTTATATAGCCTGAGATTTTGACTGACATCTCCAGACCGATCATGCCATCGGGCAAACCCAACCCCTTCTGGGTTGGATTTAGGTCTGAATTTACAGGCCTCTATGAGGTTTTGCCAGTCACTCCTCATGCATATTAAAATCTGGGTGTACTTTGTTCAATTTTGCTTAGTCATTCTTGAGTTGTATTGTTCTGATTTGCTCAGAGCTGTTTCTAGGGCTTATCAGTGCGTAATACCTCTGCTTGTGTAACTTTTTCCACTCATACCTTTCTTCTAGAACATTCGTGAATACACGGGATCCTTCCTTCAATTTTCAACATCATGAACAAGTTTAAACAGAATACATTCTTAAATCACAAAGTTTATATCCCAAATCACAAAGTTTTAGTTGATTATCTACTTGTCTATTGATTATTATAAACACATTTTTCTCATTCATTTGAAAATTGGCCATTTTTATTAAAAAGAAAAGACATCTTTCTGCTCCTCTCTGCCTGCGTGTGTGTTTGTGTAGTTGTGTAAGTCTGTGTCATATACATGTGTGTTTATGTGGTGTGTAAGTGTATATGCTTCTCCACACATGGTTTTCATTATCTCGGACTCCGAGGCTTTGAAGCGGGGCATGCCAAGACATGTTCGTCTTAGGAGCAGGCTGAACTCCGCACATCGGCTTCCTTGACAAGTGGGACAGGACAGGATTAATTTTCTTTACTCTGGACCAGGATTGGGACAGGACAAGATTTTTTCTGTGGGACCAGGACAGGACAGGAGTGAAAATCCACTCCTGTGTCATCCTCTAATGCACACATGAAACTCATCTCACAACACACAGACCCAATAATGGGTTCATGTACTAAAATATAAAGCTTCTGCCGATGAGATGACAGGATACTGTGCTCACGGCACAAGATGTGATATTGGCTTTATGCCAGCAATGTGACAATGTTGGGTTCACGAGACAAGATGCATTACTGGGTAGACTAGACAAAACAATACTAGGTTTCACAATATCGAGTCTAGAGATTAAGCAAGATGAGATGAGCTAGACGGTTTAAGAGAAACAAACCCAATATCTTATTTCTTTTTTTTTGGCTTTGCCTGACAGTTTTGAACTTCAGAAGCCTTACGATAATCTCACACTCCTAATATGTACTGTGTGTGTGTATATGTATGTATATATGTGTGCGCGCAAACACACACACACACACACACACACACACACAGACACACACACACACACACACACACTCTATTAATGTGTTGTCATCAATGTATGTTTCCATACAATGCCGAAATTGTCTCTCTGCATTTAACCCATCCACTCCCAGGTGGAGCAGTGGGCAGCTATTGAATGCGCCCCAGGAGCAATTGGGGATAGGGTGTCCTGTTCAGAGACACCACGAGATGTGCAATGAGTAGGGATCGAACCCGGAACTTTCGGGTCCCAAGTCGGCTGCCCTGCCTCTACCTCATCTCGACCCCCACATACATATATACATACACATTAGGGCTTTAACATACTACTCGAGTAATCGACAGGTCGATTCATAGGACATCTATAGAGTTTTTCAATGTCACATCGAGTATTCGCTGTGAAGTCATTATGTCGCAGTTACGTCATTGCGTCACTTGTCACATGATCCGCACCGGGCTACTAGTAGAAG